ATCTGAGAAGCTAGATTATATGAAGAAGTACGTGGCATCAAGATTGCAATGCTCATTAATAACCTGGGATATGCAGATGATGCAACATGGTGGCTAGAAGCAAAGAGGACTTAAAATACTAATGAAAATCAAAGACTATAGCCTTCAGTATGGAGTGCACCTCAATGTAAAGAAAATAAAAATCCTCAAACTGAACCAATAAATAACATCATGATAATTGGAGAAAAGATTGACGTTGTCAGACTTCATTTTGCTTGGAACCACAATCAACTCTCATGGACGCATCAGTCAAGAAATCAAAGATCTATTGCATTACATACATCTGCTGCACAAGACCTCTTGTTTTGAGGTGTTTTGAGGACTAAGCCATGGTGTTTTCAGTTGCCTCATATGTGTGTGAAATTGGACAATGAATAAGGAAGACTGTAGAAGAATTGATGCATTAGAGTTATATATTGGAGAAGAATATTAAAAGTACCCTGGACTTCCAGAAGAACAAACAAATCTGTGTTGGAAGAAGTACAGCCAGAGTACTCCATAGAAGAGAGGATGGTGAGACTTCATCTCTCATTCTTTGGATATGCTCATTCCCTGGAGAAGAACATCATGCTTGGTAAAGTGGAGGGTCAGTGAAAAAGAGGAAGATCCCCAACGAGAAGTTACAATGGGCTCAAACATAACAATGATTAAGAGGTTGACACAAGACTGGACGATGTTTCATTCTACTATGCATAGGGTCACTATGAGTTGGAACCTACACAACAGGTCCTAACAACAACAACATGGTTAATATACTAAGGTCTGAGGTGGTGCTGCAGGATAAACTGACCACAAGATCAGTTTGAGCCATAAGGTTGGTGGTTCAAACCCATCAGCTGCTCCATAGACAGGGTTGCTATGAGTTGGAACCTACTTGATACCACTTCACAACAACAACAACAAAAACTAATGGTAAAAGTGGAAAACTAGCAAGAACAAATATAAAATGTCAATAGAGAAATGGATACCCTAAGAAAGAATCAGAAGAAAATGTCCAAAACAAAAAAACACTGCAACATAATGAAAAATACTCATCAATAGAGTACACAGAACTGAGGCAATGTAGGAAAGAAGAATCAGTGAACTTGATAGACACGTCCCAAACTAAAAAGCAAGGAGCAAAAAAGAAGGGGGTGGAGGGAGAATAGAATGTCTAAGAACTGTGAGACAATTACTGAAGATATACATATCTCCAGACACAGGAAAGAAAGGAACAGAAGAAATATATGAAGTCTTAACAATAGTTAAGAATTTTCCAAAATGAATGACTGACACAAAACCACAGACCCAAGAATCCCAGAGGGCATATACTATGCAAACTACAGAAAATCACATACAAAGAAAAACTTGAAAGAAGTCAGGGGGATGGGAAAACACCTTAACAATAAAGAAACAATGGCAAGAATTACACATTAGACTCTCTTCAGAAATCATTCAAGTAAGAAGAGACTAGAGTGAAATATTTAAACTTCTGAAAGAAAAACTACCAACACAGAATTCTGTACTCAGGAAAATCATCCTTTAAAATTGAAGAAAAAAGTCTTTCTCAAACAAAAATTGGTGGAATTTATTACCAGTAGATCTGCCTTGCAAATAAATGTTAAAATAAATTCTTTTGGAAGAAGGAAATTTATATAGGTAAGAAACTGAGATCTAGTTTAAGAAATAAGAACAAATAATTTATGTTTTCTTATTCTTAATCAATCTAGCAGATATTGTTCAAAATAACAAAAACGGTAATGTATTTGGTGATTATACCATATGGATAAGAAAACTGAATGACAGCAATGTTATAAGGAGTGACAGGAAAAATTGAGACTTCTCTGTTACAAGATACTTACACTACCTGTGAAGCAGTATAGTGTTATTTGAAAGTAGACAAAGGCAACTGTTAAAAATGTTTTTAAAAGAAGTACCATTGCTAAATTGTTATTATTAGGTGCCATTGAGTTGGTACCAACCCATAGCAACCTTATGCACAGCAGAACGAAACACTGCCCGATCCTAGGCCAACCACACTATTGTTGCCACGCTTGAGTCCATCGATGCTGCCACTTGCTAAAAGAGGGAAGAAAATGGCATCATGTGGAATGCTCAAAAAAAAAAAACAAGAGAAGGCAGAAGACTGAAAAAGAAACAAAGAGAAGGGGGAACAGAGTATTTCCAGGAAGATGGCAGCATGAGCAGGTCTAAAATCCCAGGCTTCCCCACCCCAATATGAACAACAAAAAAAGCAACAAGAAATCTATATTCAAACCCTGTTGTTGTTGTTAAGTGCTGTCGAGTCAGTTCCAACTCATAGCGACTCTGTGTAGGATTTCCAAGGAGTGGCAGATGAGTTTAAACCTTGTGATTCAAACCGACCTTGCGGTCCACTGTTTTATTCCACAGGCCACAACAGGACTCCAAAAAAATAAAATATCTGTGAATAAATTTCACCAGGGAGGTGAAAAACTTCTACCTGAAAACTGTAAAACATTATGGGGAGAAATTAAAAAACAAACAAAACCCACTGTCATCCAGTTGATCCAACTTATAGTGACCCTACAGAACAAAGTCTAACTGCTCCTTTGGGGTTTTAAGACTATAAATCTTTATGATAGCAAACATTTTGGAAATAAGGACAAAGTTGGGGGACTCATGCTACCTGATGTCAAGATTTTGTATAAAGTTACAGCAAAATTTACAAAAGAATAGGCATCCAAATCAATGAAGCAGAATAAAGACTTTATAAATAGATGCACACAGATAAAGTCAAATGCTTTTTTTTTTAAATGGAGAAAGAGCAGTCGTTTCAACAAACCATTCTGCATCTTGTTTTATATCTTATACAAAAATGAACTGAAAATGGGCCACAGTCCTAATGCAGAATACAAAATTACATTCTTAAATGAGAACAGAAGAAAATCTACATAACCCAGGGTTTTACAGTTTTTAAATATGATTTCAAAAGCACATTCCAGAAGAGAAAAAAAAACGGTAACTTGGACTTTATCAAAATTGAAAACATTTGCTCTGTGAAAAACCCTATTAAGAAAATGAGAACAAGCCACAGAATGAGAGAAAATATTTTCTAGAATTTATAAAATTAAGTTCAAGATAAGAGAAGGCCTAAAGAAAAGAAAATCTTTTAATCTGTATTAATGCCTGTGGTATATCCACAGCTAACACTTTTGGAAGCAGCAGTCAAGAAATCAGACGACGTACTGCATGAAGCAAATCTGCTGCACAAGACCTCTTTAAAGTGTTCAAAAGCAAAGATTAATTATGAGGACTAAGGTGCTCCTGACCCAAGCCATGGTATTTTAATCGTCCCATATGCATATGAAAGTTAGACAATGAATCCAAGGTGATTTCCTCTTACAAGGGGCTAACTAGTGCCCCTCTCAAGAAAGTAGCAACTTGGAATAAAATCGGGCATGCCTAAGGCCTTCTAGATAGAGGATGTTTTTCCTTTTGCCTTCCTTTAGCTGCCTACATAATTTTTTAATTTTTAAATTTTATGTAAAATTTTAAAATAAAATTTTTTAAATTTTAAAGGAAAGTTGGACAATGAATAAGGAAGACCATAGAAAAAATGATGTATTTGAGTTATGGTGTTGGAGGAGAATATTGAAAGTATCATAGACTGTCAGAAGAACAAACAAAACTGTGTTTTAAGAAATACAGACAGAATGATCCTTAGAAGTCAGGATAGTGAGACTTCATCTCTCATCTCACTTTGAACATGTTATCAGAAGGGTCCAGTCCCTAGAGAAGGACAGAGGGCTTGGTAAAGTGGAGGGTCAGTGAAAAAAAATAGGAAGACCCCAACAAGATGAATTGGCACGGTAGCAACAGCAATGGGCTGAAGGGTAACAATTGTGAAGATGGTACAGGTCAGGCACTGCTTCATTTTATTGTGCATAGGAACGTTATGAGTCAGTGGTTCAAACTCACCAGTTGCTCCTCGGAACACCATGAGTTGGAACCGACTCGATGGCACTTAGAACCTGTGGTGTAATGACTTATCTCTTCTAGTTATAATTTGAAACTCCCACCAAAAAACATTACTGCTCTTCTGGGTTTGGGTAAGAGAAGGTGGGAGAAGATACTGATAGGATGACGTGACTAAAGCTGTAGAGTTTCACAGAGTTAATGTCATTGTGAAAACTTGAAATTTTACCATGGGTATAAAATGAACCATCTCAGATGCAGGAGCAGGGTGGGAGGTGTGGAGTGTCTCACTACCATCAAAGAAGAAAACCCAGTAGTAGAGCATATCCTTTGGACCCCAGGATCCCTGCACAATGAACCTCCAGGGACAGAAAGCTGTGACAATGGAGGAGGAGCAGAGGAGCAGCAGAAGAAGAACCAAAAACCAAAGCATGAGACAAAGTGGTGGGCATCCCAACCCACAGAGCAGGCAAAGCTGAGTGACTTTGGGCAGGAGTCTTGCTTACAGGGTTGTTGTTGTTGTTGTTAAGTGCTGTCAAGTCAGTTCTGACCCATAGCTACCCTGTACAGGATTTCCGAGGAGTGGCTGGTGAGCTTGAACCACCAACCTTATGGTTCAAACTGACTTTGCGGTGCAGCGTATTAGCCCACTTCACCACACCAAGATTCTACTTTTAAGAGTAGGAGGCATATATCCTTCAAAACAATATTGGATTACATAAAGAACAAATCCGAATGAGTTTGAGTAAAAAAAAAAAAAAGTAATATTTTGAAATTTGTTTTCATAAAGCAGCTGAGATCTGAGCCAAGGGCAGTTCTGAAAACAGAATGCTGCAAATAGAGCCTTATCTAAGCTTTAAGATATTGTGATACAGGATTACTGTGACTTTTATAGACAAAAAGGTGCCTATATGAAGCAACCGCCACACTCAAAGTACTTTCTCAAGAATTTTTATCTTATGAGTAAACTAAATAGACAGATAACAAAGTCAGGCTTCTTCTTCCAAACTTAGTCTCTATCTTACCTCAATGTCTCTAACCCAGGACTGAACTCTTTTCAAGTTTTCTTCATTAATCTCAGCAAGTTTTTCATGCCAAGCAACTGCTTGAGCATCAAACGTCACAAAATTGAATTTACTTTTGTATTTCAGCTGTTCCTATAAGAAACAATGATTAAGCATAAAACTAAGCAAATATAAGAAAAGAGTCAGATAGATCACATTATGATAATTTAAAATCACTGTGGTTTCTATGATAGCTAGTTTGAACTCTAGAAGCTAAAAATGACAATCAACAGATATTTTTTTCTAGTATGCAAAGGCATTTAAATAAAATATATATCAGTTTGGATGTCAATAAGACCTTTACAATAAGACCCCTTATATGTATAGACTTTATGTAAAATGTGATACTGAATTTTAGCTGACTTCAATATGGACATGAATAATAAACAGAACAAGCACACTAAATTACTATGCGTAAAGAAAATAAATCCAAAATGGCCTCATTGTTTCAGTCAGTATGTTCTCAGTAAGGCTACAGTGGCTGCTCTATGGCAGAATTCCAGTCTTCTATGAAGGAGACTGAAGTTCAATTCTCAGTCAATCAGGACGTCTCAAGCACGGCCCCACCCATCAGTCACTGTTGCTGTGATGATGAACAGGTTTCAATGAAGCTTTTAAAGACAGACTAGGATCAGAGATGGGGACATGGAGAGAGACAGCAGCTGAGGACTCTAGACACATGGAAAGAGAAAGGCTGTGTGCTGGCAGCCAGGAGGTGGGCTTGCAGAATGTACCCTTTGGTTGTTTAAATCATTATATATTCCTGAGTGGTTTTGTGTACATCAACCCCCTACACATACAAAAAAAAAAAGAAAAAAACCGAGGGAATAGAAACAAATAATGTTGCATGATGATGCACAGAGGAGATTGTAATCATTGTAATGAAATTAAATGCTATACAATTAGTACAAAACTGATGTTTTCCCATGTAAACTACCACTCAATTCACCATAAAAACTTTAAAAAAAAGAGAGAGAGAAAGAGAGACTAGGAAGAAAGTCCTGATGATTTACTTCCCAAAAAGCAGCCAATGAAAACCTGGTAGATCACAATAGTCCAATCAGATCATGTTCTCCAACAGAGGCTCGTTGGAACTATTTCCCTAAACTATTTTCTGTGGTTAACAGTTGTAACAATACTACTGATTCATGGCAGTACTATGGCACCCATTTATAGGTGTGAAACTAGACATTAGGAGATGTAAGCAATCTACTTGAGGTCATGCAACCCAAAGTAGCATAAGCAAGGGAAGAACTGGAAACTCTTGAACATCAACCTACACTCCACACATGTGCATGAATTCTGGGGCTAGGCAACAAGATCCTTGATAAACATTTGTTATTGTTGTTGTTAAGTGCCGTCAAGTCAGTTCTGACCCATAACGACCCTGTATAGGGTTTCCAAGGAGTGACTGGTGAGCTTGAACTGCCAACCTGGGAGATCAAACAGACTTTGCAGCCCAGTGCATTAGTCCACAGCACCACACCAGGACTCCTGATAAACATTAGAGAATAAAACAAGAGGTGAAGCGTGTCTGGAAAACAATGGCAGTATGTGTAGGACACAGATTTTAGGGTAGAGAAAACCTAAAGCAATGAACTTGTAGAAGCTTCCATAAGCAACCCATGTATTTACAGAAGGAAAGGTCTGCCTTCAAAGGAGCACTGGTGATTCTGTAACTGGCCAAAGGGAACCTTCTGAAGTGGCTTTCTTAAGGATTTTCAGCATAAACCTTCCATGTCTACCTCTTATAACTACAGACGATGACTGGTGAAGATGAACTCTTGCTACATAGACCCCCCCAAATGCATGAAGATGATAGTTCCATCTAACCTGTATAAACTGAATGATTTTGTCCTTCACCAAGTCCAGTCTGCCCTTCATTGAGTGAGATGTATCAATGAGGACATAAACACAATCATGAAGCACTTTTCCAAAGAGCATTTGACTCCCATCTTGTAGCCATGTAATCCTACACAGGAAATAGGTTGCAAGTGAATGGTTAGATCCTGGGGCAAATAGAGCATCTTCCTAAGAACTTAAATATACATATACAGAAGCCACAACTCTGCCATATTATTTATACCAAAAAGGCCAGCAGTTCAAGCTCACTAGCTGCTTCTTGCAAACCCTATGCAGGGTTGCTATGGGTCAGACCTGACTCGACGGCACTTAACAACAACAACAAATCTTTTTTGAGCAAGTTATTTACTTTGAGGTTCTTCTGTGGAAAACTCTGGGCTGCATCAATTATCACAACTCTCTCCAAATAAAACAGAACTAGGAAAATAAATATGACAGAAACAATAAATCCAATACTAGGTTCCAAAGCCACAAGTAAATTACTTCCAGTCATGTGATATTTTGTCGTCTAATCCTGACTACCCTCAAGCTTTTAAAGTCAGCTTATTCCTGAAGCTTCAGTGGAACTTCTGGACGGTATCAAGTGACCTCAGCACCCGGGAGTTGGGTGAGCAGGAACGATCCATGCATGAACTGTTCCTATCACAGGATGTAAATGAAGTTCATGGCTTGAGGCAAAGTGCTGGGGTGGAGACAGAAAAAAATATTTGAAACAGAGTTCAAACTTCCACATATATATTCTGCTTACAAGAAACTTATTAATCTATAAGAAAGGTAGGTTAAAGGTACAAGAACAGAAGAAAAGATAGGCCATGCAAACAATAATCTAAATAAAGCTGAAATGGCTATAATGATATTATAGAAAAAGCAAATTTCAGAAGAAGCATTTCCAGAGATTAAAAAAGGATATTCTACAATGATAAAGAAGTCAATTAGTCGAAATGATATTAACAACTCTCTCTATATATGTACCTACTGATGGTGGTGGTGGTGGTTATGTGCTGTGGAGTCAGTTCCGACTCACAGCGACCCTGTACAGGGTTTCCGAGGCTGTAAATCTTTTACGGGAGCAGAAAGCCTCATCTTTCTCCTGCAGAACAGCTGGTAGTTTCCAACTGCTGACTGTGAGATTAGCAGCCCAACTCGTAAACACTACACTACCAGAGCTCCTTTGATAGAGTTTCCAAATACATGCAGAAAAACTTGACATTACTAAAAGAAGAAGTGGACAAGTCCACAACTACAGTTGGAGATCTTAATACTTTTCTCTCAATAATTTATAGAAAAATTACACTGAAAATATGTAATGACACAGAAGACATGAACTATACTATCCATCAACCTGAGATAATTGATATTCATAGTATGTGCTACTCAACAAAAGCAGAATACGCTTTTTATTCATATTCTGGGATGCAAAACAGGTCTCAAATTTATAAGAATTGAAATAATAAAAGGTATTTCTATGTCCACAGTGAAATTAAAATAGACATTCATAACAAAAAGTTATCTGAAAATCCACACACATTTGGAAAGTAAATGACACATTCCTCACATAACCCTTTGCTCAAAGGGGAAATTACAAACTATCTTTCTCCCACAAAACAGCTTGTAGTTTCAAACTGCTGACCATGTAATTAGCAGCCCGACTCGTAACCACTATGCTACCAGAGCTGCTTAAACTACCTTATAGTGACTGTAAATGAAACACAGCATATCAAAATCCATGGGAGGCAGCTAAAGCAGTACGCAGAGAGAAATTTGTGAAATGAAATGCTTATAGTAGGGGAAAAAAGAAAAATCTATTATTAGGATGAGGTATGCATCATCTTAAGAAACGGAAATCCAAAATACTGAGAACAAAGGGAATAATAAAGATATGAATAGAAATCAATGACAAAGAAAGTCAAAAACCTATAGAGACAAAAATTTATGAAACAAAAAACTGGTTCTTTGAAAAGAACAACAAAATGAATAACCTCTAGTGAGATAGATTAAAAAATAGAACATAAATTGCCAATATCAATTTTATATGTATTTAAAGACGTTGAATGCATACTTAAAAACCTTCCCACAAAAAAAAACTTCAGGACCAGAAGGAAGAAGATAGCTCTCATTTTTCAGAGTAGACTGCCAGCATCAATGGGCTCAAGTGTGGTAACAATTGTGAGGTTGGCCCAGGACCCCAGGCAGTGTCTCATTCTGCTGTGCACAGGGTTGCTATGAGTCAGTACCGACTCGATGGCACCTAACAACAACTACAGACTTGATACTATCCTAAACCTATATGATTTAGTATCTAATCTAATTCATAGAACAAATTTGTCAGTGAAATTATTTCCATTTTATAAATGAGGAAGCTAGTGCACAAAGACTTCACCTAAGTCTCCCGGGTCACACCACAAGTAACAAAGCTGGGATTAGAACCCAGCTAGATCTGATCCCAGAGCCCAGGAGCTTAAACAGATTTGTTCTTTCTCTCCACAACTGGCATGGGAAGAAGTGAAGGGCTGGGCTGGCAGATGTTAAGGTAGACTATCCACCATAGAGTTGCCCTGAGGTTACAGCATGAATGCTCCATACTCAGGAGCATTATCAGACTTTAAGAACCAGCAGGGCTGAGATTGCATGAAATTATACTTAGCTGAGTTCAAAGGAAACAAGCATAGTATTCAATTGTACTGGTATATTTCACAACGTTTTAACAATTGCCTTGAAATGTAACATTCAAGAATGTAGAGGACAAGTATAACACAGTCTGTCATACCTGTGGTGAATAAAAATTGTAAGGTGTGAGCAGAAGCAATTCTTAGCCTCTTACAGTGATGCACAACCATGGGGATACCATATCCTTTGTTTGCTGTTTATAAGAATTTTCTGTGTTTTAAGAAACTGGCATCAAGGCAGCTTGAAAAACAAACATTCTTCTTTGTCATTAACAAGGTCATCAGCAAACCACCAGATGGCAACTTTGACCTAACAATATTTATTGGACATTTCTTTCTCTTGGGTGAGCTTTTACCAAGAGGTCAAGTAGATATGAATTTCAAAATAAACTAGACTTCTTGTTGCTGGTAAGTGCCATCAAGTCAGTTCTGATTCATAGCAACCCTGTATAGGATTTCCAAGGAGCATCTGGTGGGTTTGAACTACCATCCTTGAGGTTAGCAGTGCAGTGCTTATCCTACAGTGCCACCCCAGAACTCCCACTCTCCTGAAAATACACCAACCTCCTTTCAATTTGGGCCAGGAATGTTTGAATTCTTTCACTGTACCACTTGTATTTCTCTTTGGTAACATGGACATGAACCAAGCTCCCATCCTTCCAAGGAGCATGGACAAATCTGCTACAGTATTTCGCATGGACTGTTTTCTTGATTGTCTCCTGTAGAGAGGACAAAGGAAAAGTTGTTTAGAAACCCTTAGAAAAAAAGTCTCCAAATGGTTCGTCAATGTCCTAGCACTTGCCTCTATTGTAAAGCTAAATTGTTAATTCAATCAAACACATACTTGGCCTGTTCCATAGAGATCTTAGTGTTATGTATCCTGAGTGATGATCTTATCCATGTTCCAGTGAAGCAGACACACACACACCAAAACACACACAGACACATAGCAGCAAACAGCACTGCAGAGCAGTAGATACTCAGTACATGGTACTGGGTTGAGATCGTGAGGACAGCAAGTCCTAGCAATAAAGGAAGAGTTCTCAGTGAACCAGAGGGCCAGGGAAGCTATTCTGGAGGAGGTGGAACTTTAAAGTCACATAAAGCATTTTGCCATTGCTACTCCCTACCCCAAATGAAGAAAAATAGCCAGGAGCCCGGACCCCACATCTAGGACCCTCTACTGGGATATAAAGAATTGACCCAAGGACAAAACCTTCCCATAGGGAAAGAGTTCATAATGGCTGACATTCTTTAGCACACATCCAATACGGACTGCAAGGTCAGTTTGAACCACAAGATTGGTGATTCAAATTCACCAGCTGCTCATTGAATACCCTATACAGGGTGGCTATGAGTCGGAATGACGCAACAGCACTTAACAACAACTCCTTGGACTTCTGGTGTGGCTCTGTAGAATCTGCACTGGACTGTGAACCACAAGGTCAGCAGTTCAAATTCACCAGCTGCTCCTTGGAAACCCATACAAGGTCGCTATGAGTCGGAACAATTCAACAGCAGTTAAACAACAACTCCTTGGACTTCTGGTGTGGTGCTATAGAACTAGCACTGGACTGCAAACCAGCTGCTCCTTAGAAACCCTACACAGAGTTACTATGAGTCAGAACCGACTTACTGCACTTAACAACAACAACAATTCCTTGTCAAAGGAGCCCTGGTAGTGTAGTGGCTATATGTTGTGCTGCAACTGCAAGGTCAGCAGTTCAAATCTACCAGCCACTCCAAGGGAAAAAGATAAGGCTTTCTGCTCCCAAAAAGCTTTACTGCCTTGAAGATCCTATGTTGTTGTTGGTAGGTGCCATAAAGTCATACTGACTCTTAGTGACCTTATGCACAACAGAACAAATTACTGGCCAGTCGTGCACCAACCTCACAATCATTAATGTGCTTGAGTCCATTGCTGCTGTCACTGTACCAATCCATCTTGTTGGAGGTCTTCCACTTTTTCAGTGACCCTCCACTGATATCCTTCTTTAGAGACTTCCGGTCCCTGATAGCATAAAGTCTGGCCTGATGAGAGATGAAGTCTGGCCATCCTGACTTCCAAGGAGCACTCTAGTTGTACTTCTTCCATTACATATCAGTTTGTTACTTTAGCAGTTCATGTTACTTTGAATATTCTCCTCCAACACCAAATGCATCCATTTTACTGTCTTCATTATTCACTGTCCAATGTTCACACGCGTATGAGGCTATTGAAAATACCATGGTTTGGGTCTGGCGTACCTTAGTCCTCAAAATTATATCTTGCTCTTGAACACTTTAAAGAGGTCTTGTAAAACAGATTTGCCTAATGCAATATGTCATTTGATTTCTTGATGGCTGGTTCCATGAGTGTTGATGATTGATCCAAGCAAAATGGAGTCTTTAGCAACACCAATCTTTTGCCCATTTATATGGATGTGGTAAGGATTTCTGTTTTCTTTACATCAAGTGTCAACCATACCAAAGGGTGTGGTCTTTGATCTTCATCAGTAAGTATTTTAAGGCCTCTTCATTTTCACAAAGCAAGGTTGTATATCTGCATATGGCAGGTTGTTAATGAGTCTTCCTCCAACTCTGATGCCATGTTTTTCCTGGTATTATCCAACTTCCTGAATTATTTGCTCAACATACTGATTGAATAAGTATAGTAAAAGAACATAACCTTGGGAAACCCTATCTACACAAGGGTCACAGTGAGTCAGAACCAACTTGAGGTCACACCATCACCACTACCTCCATTCCTTGCCAAAAGTGGCCCTGGTAAGGTAATGGATTAGAAATTGAGCTGCTAAGCCCAAAGTCAGCAGTTCAAATTCACCAGCTGCTCCACGGGAGCAAGATGAGGTTTTCTAGTCCCACAAAGACCACAGCCTTTGGAGAAAAATAGTAAAAGTACCATGGACTGAGAAAAACAAACAAACAAAAGAACAAATCTTTGTTGGAAAAAGTATAGCCAGAATGCTCCTTAGAAGCCAGGATAACTAGAGACTCTGTCTCTCATACATTGGACATATTATCAGGAGGGACCAGTCCCTGGAGAAGAACAATATGCTTGGTAAAGTGGAAGGTCATCGGAAAAGAAGAAGATCTCCAACAAGATGGATTGGCACAGTGGCAGCAGCAGTGAGCTTAATCATAGCAGCAACTGTGAGGTTAGTATAGTACCGGAAAGTGTTTCATTCCATTGTGCATAAGGTCATTATGAGTCGGCATTGACTTAATGGCACCTAACAACAAAGACTTGCAGCGTTGGAAACAAGGTCACACCAATACCACCATCTTTGCTAAGAGATCTTTTGTGTTAAGAGCTGTAGAGTCAGTTCCAAATCACAGTGACCCTATATAGGGTTTCCAATGAGCACGATGATCAGTGGTTAGCAGTCTGGTGCTTATCAGACCTACAGTGCCACACCAGGAGCTCTTTAAGGCACTTGGAATACATTTCATAAATATAGCTGAGCAAAATTCCTACTTTCATGAAGTTTACATTATAGTGAGAAGTGGAGGGAAGGGGAATATGGAAATGTTAAAATCTAAAATAGAAAACTTCAGACAGAAGATGACATTTGAGCAAAGACTTGGAAAAATCAAGAATATGAGCCATATTTACAAGGGTAAGTCCAAAAGTACTGCTACAAAATCATAGACCTCCTTTATTAAATAAAAATAACAAGATGCAAAGTTATTGTTTCATGATGTAGCCTCCCTGTATCTCCACACACCTCTGAAGGCAGTGTTTCCATCTTCCTAACCCTTCCTCAAAGAATTCTGCACTTTTCAAATTACATCATGTCAAAATGGCAGTTTGGGTATCCTCGAAAGAAGGACTCAAAGCATGCTCTTTTTCAATATTCTCTAAGTTTAGGGAACAGAAGAGTCTGAAGGGACAAATCAAGGTTGTAAAGTGGATGGGATAAGATTTCCTAACGAAATTCCCATAGGATAATCTTTGCTAATCTCAAAGAATGAGCAGGTGTGTTATTAACATGGGGGAAGGGGAATGCCTCACTCTGTGTAACTTCCTGGTTATTTTCTCACCAATGCACCTTTCAGGTTCCTTAAAACTTCTTCATAGTAAGCTCCTGTAAGCATATCCTTCAAGACCAACCCTTTGGAGTCCCCAAAAGAAATCACCATAGCTTTCTGAGCTGACCTCTCTGCTTTGAATCTAGTGGCCCAGCAGATCCCCTCAGAAGTCACTGTTTGGAATGGATCTTGATCTCTGGATACTATTGGTAAATCCAAGACTGTTCTCTGGTTACAATTTGTCACATAAAATCATCTTCATTAGCTTCAAACTTGCATAAAGATGAAACGAAAGATCAACTCTTTGAGCAAGCTACTCTTTATGCAACACTATTGGCATCCATCAAATCAAAAGCTTGTGAGGACAAAATGTTCCATTAAAACTAAAAAATACTGAACCATGTGAAAGTAAAAGCTCAGTAACTAATGCAAAAAACTACAATCTTCCAACAGTCTCTGGACTTCAGCCGCAGTTTCTTCATTTGTCGAGGTTGACAGTCTTCTCTTTCTTGACTCACCTCTGAGGTCTTCCTGACCTTCCTTAAGATATTTGATCCATCTAAAAACTATTGTTTCATGTAGCATAGCATTCCCATAAACCTTCTGTGAAGATTCAATGATTTGGAATGATGTCCACTTAAATTTTGCTAAAAATTCAGTATTAGCCCTGACCTCAAATCATTTTCTCCCATGGCATTTTCTCCCATGGCACAAACATTTTCTCCCATGGCACATTTTCTCCAGCTTTTTGTTGTTGCTGTTGTTGTTTTTAAGGCACCCTAATGAGACTATCGGAGTCCTGGTGTGGCGCTGTGGGTTCATGTGCCAGACTGCAAAGCTGTTTGAACTGCAAGGTCAGCAGTTCAAAACGGCTCACCAGCTGCTCCTCAGAAACCCTATACAGGGTTGCTATGGGTTGGAACCGACTCTACGGCACTTCACAACAACAACAATGAGACTATCAACACTCACACAAGCAGCAGTCAAGAAATCAAATGATGTATTGCATTAGGTAAATCTGTTGCACAAGACCTTTTTAAAGTGGTGAAAAACAAAGATGTCAGCTTGAGGACTAAGGTGTGCCTGACCCAAGCCATGGTATTCTCAGTAACCTCATATGCATGTGAAAGTTGGACAGTAAATAAGGAAGACTGTAGAAGAATTGATGCTTTTGAGTTATGGTGTTGGAGGAGAGTATTAAAAGTGCCGTGAGCTGCCAAAAGAACCAACAAATCTGTGTTAGAAGAAGTGCAGCCAGAGTGCTCCTTGGAGACCAAGATGGCCAAACTTAGTCTCTCTTACTTTGGGCATATTGTCAGAAGGGAGCAGTCACTGGAGAAGGATATGATGTTTTTTTAAGGTGGAGGGTCAGAGAAAAAGAGGAAGACCTTCAGCGAGATGGATTGGCCAAGTGGCAGCATCAATGGGCTCAAGAGTGGCAACAATAGTGAGGTTGGCCCAGGATCAGGCAGTGTTTCATTCTGCTGTGCATAAGGTTGCTATGAGTAGGCACTGACTCAATGGCACCTAACAACAACAATGAGATCAAGGAGTCCTGGTGTGGCACTGTGGGTTAATGTGTCAGACTGAGAAGCCATTTGAACTGCAAAGTTGGTGGTTCAAGCTCACCAGCTGCTCCTCAGAAACCCTATACATGGTCCCTAGGGATCGGGACCTACTTGACAGCACTTAACAACAACAACGAGACTAAGGAGTCCTGGAGTGGCACTGTGAGCTAATGTGTCAGACTGCAAAGTCATTTGAACTGCAAGGTTGGTAGTTCAAGCTCACCAGCTGCTCTTTGGAAACCCTATACAGGGTCACTATGGGTTGGAATCGACTCAACAGCAGTTAACAACAACAACAACGAGACTAAGACAAGTGTATTGCTGGAAGAGCATGTCTGTAGCCATCCACTGAACACAGAGTCATGTTTAAACCTATTTTGTTTGGAATAAACTGCGCATGTATGAACTAGCACCCCAATACCGATACTTCTTGACTTACCCCAATATGTCTGGAATTGAAGGGCACAACACTCCAGTTAAAGGGCACAACAAATACAAAAACTCTGAGGTAAGATTTTGCTTCACATGTTTGCAGAATCTTAAGAAGGCCTATGTAGCTGAAATAGACTGAGCCAGGGGAGAGAAGTGAAGGCAGGTAAAGGAGAGGCAGGAAGCAGACCCTATGGGTCTGAGAGCGGAAAGAAGATTTTCTTCTGAGTGGAACACAAATGATCTGAGGGCTTTAGCAAGAGAAGTGACAGAATCTTCACTGAGGACATACAGGCTGCAGATCATCAAAGATAGAAGCAGGGAATTGCACATTGCAATTACTTTTTTAAAAGTTGTAATCTGTATATCATTTGTGCGTGCAACTGTCTTACATGTTTGGCTAATTTAAATGGTATTATTAAACAAAACTACTAATGATGCCAGTTGTCAGGATAGTGAGCGTTCATAAACTGATTTTGAAAAAAAAAAAAAAAAGATATAAGTAGGGAGCAAGGAGGCCAGTACAGTGGCTTAGACCAGGTGTAATAGTGGAAATGGTAAGAAATAGTCAGATCCTGAATTCTGGGTATATTGTGAAGATAGTGAAAGGATTTCATGAGAGCTCAGATGTGCATACAGAGAAAAGAGAGGCTTTGGGCCTGGGAAACTGAAAAAAATGGAATTGCCATAAATGTATAGGAAGATTACAGGAGCATGACTTTGAAAGGGAACATCAGAATTTAGTGCTAAATATGTTAGGTTCAAGATATATATTACGTATCCAAGTAACACGACAAGTAGACTGGTGGAGATCAGGGAGCCTCAGAGCTGGTGATAGAAATTTGGAAGTCAGCATACACATGGCATTAAAAGCCTTGGGACTGGATTAGGGCGCTTAAGGAATAAAGAGGTAAATAGAGAAGAGGTTCAAGGACTGGGCTTTGAGGCCCTCCAGCATTTAGGGGGACATGGGAAAGAAAACAAAGACTGTGAAGAAGTAGCCAGTGCAGCAGAAGGCAAACCTGGACAGTGTTTTCTTCAAGCAAAAGAAGAATTCCAAGGACGTGATCAAGTATACTAAGTACTGACAATAGGCCAAATAAGAAAAAGACTGAGAACTGATTCCTGAATTTAGAAATTTAAGTGTTCCTGGAAATACTAGGTTTTGTTAGAAGGGTTAGGGTTTTTATCTGATTGGAGTGGCACCAGAATGAGATCTGAAGAATCGGAGAATGAAGTTTACATAATTCTGTTGAGAAGTTGAATTTTAAAGAAAAATGAGGCAAATGAGGTAGTTGTTGTTAAGTGCCGTTGAGTTGGTTCCGACTCATAGCTACCCCTGTATAGGGTTTCCAAGGAGTGACTGGTGAGCTTGAACCACTGACCTTGTGGTTCAAATTGACTTTGTAGTCCAGCGTATTAACATAAAGTGCCACACCCCTAAATAATCTATTTCACAGTAGCCTCTGTTTCTCCCCATTTTATATACATCACAATTTGAGGTATAAATCCAGTTTTAGAAATCTACCCACAAATATTAAAAACAGAAATTCTCCTTGTTCGCTAATGTTTGAGAAAGAGGTTAGCTTTACTGAATATGTTTGCGCTAAGTCTAAGCACATCAGTTTCATGCTTAAGGGAAGGCACATCCGAACCGACAAAGATTAATAATTGTAAATATCCAGTGTCAAATAGATCCTAAAATTGAAAATTTGGTTATGTATTATTTCCTGAACGAATAACATTATTGAATAACATCTACAGAACCAGAAACTTTGGCTGGGGGAGGAAACCCACAAATGAGATTTTCCCAGTCGTGTAGCAATTACTCTGCGTCCTAGTAAAAGCCAGGAAACAAGTCTTGCACCAATTTTGCATATTTGTAATTCAATTTTTATATTTTCCTCCTTGCAGTTCAGCGTTAGTAAAAAGGCAAAAACACAACATCACATGTGTAGTGTAGCCCCAAGGGAAAGACTTTCCCTAAGGAGAGTGTGTGGAACTGAATGGGCAGCCTTGCAGGATAGTGAGCATCCAAGAGCCTGGGGTTTCAGCTCTGTGGAATCTACTAGTCAGAGCCTTTGAAAATGCATAAAGCTCCCTCTGTCATTTTGGGTCACTGTGAGTTGGAATTGATTAGACAGCGATGGGGTTTTGTTGTTGTTAACTACCATTGTGGTCTGTGGGTGACACAAATGATTTCTACTCAACTACTGAGCTCTGGTAGCGTAGTGGTTACGAATTGGGCTGCGAACCTTAAGGTCAGCGGTTCGAAACTACCAGCCGCTCCGTGGGAGAAAGATGAGGCTTTCTACTCCCGTAAGGATTTACACCCTCAGAAACCCTGTAACAGGGTCGCTATGGGTCGGAACCGACTCGACGGCACTCAACAACAACAACAACAACTACTGATTCCTGCTGCAGTGCTGTAGGATCCGCACTGGAGTCTGAGTCACAAGGTCAGCAGTTCAAATCCACCAGCTATACCTCAGAAACACTATATAGGGTGTCACTACAAATCAGAATTGACTCGATGACACTTTACAACAACAACAACTGACTTACAAGAGTCCTGGTATGGCATTGTAGGATAAACACTGGACCACTAACTGCAAGGTTAGTGGTTCAAACTCACCAGCTGCTCCTCAGAAACCCTATTCAGGGTTGCTAGGAGTCCAAACCAACTCGACAGCACTTACCAACAATTCACTTAAAGCTGAGTGGCTTGACCCTACCCAGTGGCACCACAGAAGATAGGCCTGGCAATACGCTTCTATGAAGGTTACAGATCCTTCGTAATCCATGGGGTTGTCATGAATCACAATCGACTCACTGGCAGCAAGTTTGAGCTCCTGATTCATGGTGGCTCCATGCACAATAAGGAGCTCTGGTAGCATAGTGGTTACAAATCAGGCTGCGAACCGCAAGGTCAGCAGTTCGAAACTACTGGCTGTTCTGTGGGAGAAAGAGGAGGCTTTCTGCTCCCGTAAAGATTTAAAGTCTCAGAAACCCTGTACAGGGTCGCTATGAGTCGGTACCGACTCCATGGCACATAACCACCACCACCACCATGTACAATGGACTGAGCCGCCCCCGTGACCAGCTGCAGATTGGAGTCTTGGGATTTTCAGAATTAGGTCACCAGAGTGTCCTTCCTAGTTCATCTTAGTCTGGAAGCTCCACTGAATCCTGTGAGCGGCATCATAGCAATACACAAGCTTCCACTGACAACAGATGTGGTGGGTCTCTCTCATGGACCACTGAACCACCAGGCTGCCCTAGCTTCCTTGTTCTATATGTCAGTGCCTCTCAAAGTGGGGCCAGCCACATCAGCATCATCTGGGAACTTGTTTAAGTACCCACTTCAGACCAACAGACTCATATGCATGCTGAAGTTTAGGACACATTGATACAGATCATTATCCTTGCATGATAAGCCAGGGTCAGGCACTTTGAAAAGATGCATTCCTTTCAGATCCATTTGGCACAATAGGACTAAAGCTTTCACAAGTTTTCAGCATATCCTCCTCCAGTGGTATAATCTCTCAGAGGATCTGACTTTATATTTACTGGAATCTATAACTGCTGACTAGTATAATGAATGCATCTTTTAGATACAAAAAATACAAAAAGACTACAGAAATACCTGATTTGGGGAGATTCGCCAGCTATTTCCTCTCTTGCATTCAAGATGGGGGAACAAAGGGCTTCTCTTTTGACATAATGTTGAATAATTTTGAGGCTCATTATGCCTGCATTTCTACAAGTTCAGCAGCTGGCTCATGGACAATACACTAATATCTAGAAGTTATTCCCAGATTTCATTTCCACTCACAAGTACCATTTAGAGAAGTGGGTGGTAAAAGGAAAAAGGGACATCTTTCTTCATGGAAACCCAATCTGGCTTCCCTCCATGCTGCCTTTCAACCTTGGTCCTATCCTTGGCTTCTGATCTGAGAGAGGTCTTATAAATTCAGAGCACCAAGGTTAGGCCAAGCTCCCACCCAGGAATCCATATTACTTACCGCACTGGTCTTCACAGACTCATTCTCCGGCTTAGCTTTTATATCAACGACTCCATCAACATGGCGGAAGGAGCAATCAGCAAGAACATCATAAAATGACAGCTTCTGGGCTTTCAAGCCATATTTCTGAAGCCACTTCTTGGAGTTCCAAATGTCCTCTGGATTTGACTCATTCTCCACAAAGGTTGCTCCAGATTCTATTTCTGGAATGACAGTTCATTCATATTATGAGTGGTTCTGTTATAAACCAGAACCAAAACCCAAACCCATTGACATCCAATTGATATCAATTCACAGTGACCCCATAAGACAGAACAGAACAGAACTGCCCCATATGGTTTCTGCCCCATATGATGAGCACTGGACTGTGAACGAATGTCCACACTTTGAGCCTGCCAGCCACTCAGCAGGAGAAAGATGAGGCTTTTGATCCCACAAAGGTTTAAAGCCTCAGGGTTGCTATGAGTTGGAACCAGTTCCATGACACTTCACAACAATAGGATTTCCAAGGTCATAAATCTTTATGGAAGCCAAATGCCATTTTTGTCTCCCTTGGAATGTCTGTTGGTTCCAAACAACGATTTTTTGGTTAGCAGCTTTAACTATTATACTACCAGTATTCCTATTCATATTATACCCCTAACTTAATATTTACCAATATGGAACATGTAATTTGTTAAAAACTACTTCATCTCAGGAAACATGCTTTCAAAAGCAGAATTGCCACACACACACACAAAATAATAAAAAATCCTAGGTAACAGACTAAAAAGCAAGAATCTCTTACTTTCTGTCTCATTTCCTCCTCTTCCTAATTTGACTGACCCCCATGTACAGGTGGAACTGACCAACAGGCCAAAGCTGTATGTTGAAAGAGCAATACACTTAGGATCAGAAGATCTGAGTTCAAGTCTTGGCTCTGTCACTTACTGGCTTGGGAAAGGTATTCAAACTTGAGTCACTCACTTAACTTCTCTTATTATCAGCAGAATTCTGTATCTGCAGATGGAAGCTGTGCTTGGCATTCCTAACTATACAGAGGTGACTCAGTGAGAAAGGTCACGTGAACATACTCTGTAATAAAAGTGAAGGAAAAGCCTTCAGTGAGGTGGAAGTCAGTCAACTCTTGTAGGCTGACAGCCGTTTCCCAAGAAGCTTCCTTCTTACCTTGGTGAATTTATCCCTATTCATAACCTAGTTCTCAACTCTGAGGGCCCCAAAACTTCATAAGTCAGCTCAGGCACTTGGAGCTGTATCTCAGGACAACTCACCTTCACAGGTAATGTAAAATCCAGAATGACAATGTCCCAAATGCCTCTAGCCTTAGGCACATTCCCTTGGTATTTTCCAGGGAGTAGGTGTTATGTTACCTTAGCCTGATACCATACAAGTCAGTGGATCATACAAGCAAAGAAATGTTAATCTAGGTGGTGCAAAACTCCAGCTGTCACCTGGGGAACAGGCTACCTGGGAGAGGGGCTTAGAGGAGGCAGTGAGTAAATCTGGAGTTGAGGAGGCAAGGAGCTTACAGATCTGGTGAGCAGTAATCAACAAGAACTGATTGTGCTTGTGTCTTCCCAACCTTATGTTCAACAATTTCACTTTGGTAGGTTGAAATCAACCATGGTGGAAACATTTATAAAATTTGGACATATACAGGTACTACAAATTAGGATATTTTTTGCTGCTGTTATAGTTTTACTGTCAGAGAGCTAACTGTTAAGTTTTTACCTTCACATCTGGAAGGGAAGCCAAAAGGACCCTGATATTTTAGCCGCACTGGGACAACCAGAGCCCTAAGGCAGGAGAGAAGTGCTGGACAGGGAAATGGCTAATGCTCTGAACAGCAAGGTCAGTTTGAGCCTCAAGGTCAGAGATTCAAGCTCATCAGCCACTCCTAGGAAACCATATACAGGGTCGCTATGAGTTGAAACTAACTTGACTGCACTTAACAGCAACATCATCACACATTTGGACTCTTGGTGTGGCTCTATAGTATCAGCACTGGGCTGTGAACCACAAGGTCGACAATTCAACCCACCAGCTGTTCCTCAGAAACCCTATAAAGGGTTGCTATGAATTAGAACCAACTCAACAGCACTTAACAACAACATCACATACAGGTCCACCAACCCTACAGAGAGCCCTGGTGTGGCACTGTACGTTAAGCACCTGACTTGTAACCACATGGTGAGCAGTTCAAACCCACCATCCACTCTACGAGGCCAAGATGGCTAAGCTTCGTCTCTCATACTTTGGACATATTGTCCAAAGGGAACAGACACTGGAGAAGGATGTCATGCTGGATAAGGTGGAGGGTCAGAGAAAAAGAGGAAGACCCCTAACGAGATGGATTGGCCAGGTGACATCATTGATGGATTCAAGTGTGGCAGCAGTAGTGAGGTTGGCCCAGGATCGGACATTGTTTCGTTCTGCTGTGCATGGGGTCGCTATGAGTCGGTTCCGACTCGATGGCACCTGACAACAACAACAAGTTTCTGTTAAAAAAAACAAAAAAAGAGTTAAAGTGAATAGAGAGAAAAACTGTGTTGACTGATGGTACATGGGGAGGATTGTATTATTGTAATAAAACAAGTTGTATGATTTGTTGAATGTAAAATTGATGATCTGCCCTGTAAACTTCCACTCGATCCACAACAAAAACTTTAAAAAAAAAAAGTTCCTTCAGGTGCTGTCCCAAATCCCAGCAATTAGCTTCTAAGTGACCCATCAAAGTATCCTCTCAATCTGCTCAGGGAGCCCAAGTTAAAGGAATGGGGGTGGGCAATGAAGGCACCTTCCCCTGTTTCTAATTCCTGAGCTTCTCTTGCATGCTCTCCCACATCATGGGAAAGCAGCTGAAAGGATGGAACCCCTTTTTGTTAGTGGGGTCAGCCTCCTGGGGGAGATCTTTGGGGTTACTGTTTTCCTCCAATTATTGTTAATTACATTCTAAGCCTTTGACGCCATTTTATTCTCTTTTCTTCTTTTTTCTTTTTGATCAATAGATGTAGTAGGAAATGGAATTTTAATTCAATTATTCCTATGGTGACACACAGCCGACCCTATCACATCTTTCTGCTTTGTTTTGGGTTGCCTTCTTTTAAAAAAGACAAAAGATCTATCTCAATGATTAAATTTAAGCTTACCACAAAAGTGCTTTCTAAAAACACATTGAAATATATTTTTTAATATTATTCAGAAACTTAACCCCTTATTCCTTCTACTTTCACCAGAATCAGGCAGAACAGCTACCCTGGGGGCATGATTCATATTCCCATTACCCTCTGAAAAGGGGTGTGGGAGAAGACCCCAAGGAACCAGAACTTTCAAAAGGAAAAGATGGAGCTGCCAAGTATTCAAAGACCAAGTGCCTAGATGCTCTAAAGCTGAAGAAAGGAAGGGGACGGGCATAGCTTTTCACTCTCAGCCTTGATTACATCAATTAGTGGCTGAGCCTATTTTCCCCCTCTCCCCCCAAGGGAAGGGAAGAGTGTCATCTGTTCACTATAGTCCATTCCCTTGCAATTATCTTAATTAAATGTGCTATGTTAAGTTCTCACCTACAGAGCCTAGAATCATACCCGCATTTATTAGAGATGTGAGTTCACAGCTAATCCTGATTACACTGTTTTACCAGTCACCTCAGCAGATTGCTAAAGATTTTCCTTCAGTGAAGAGTGGTGGTGGTGGTGGTGTGCTGTGGAGTCTGTTCCAACTCATAAAAACCCTGTAGAGGGTTTCCGAGGCTGGAAACTTTTTTTTTTTAATGTTTTATTGTGAATTATGTGATAGTTTACATGGAAGAACATTAGTTTTACATTCATCCTATTTATATCCTTTCATTGCTAT